TTCATCTACCAATCCTCCGACATCTTTAATAAAATAGGGCGAATTCACTTCATGTAGATAATCTAATGATCGTCTCAAAAACCTATTTATAAATCAAAATTTGCTTATTTTGTTTAAATTGCTGCCGGGCTGATCAAAATTATAGTCAATTAGTTACTTTAGGTCACATTTTGAGCCAAAGTTAGCAGCTCAGTTTCCTTTTACTAGCCACGTATCCAACATTTCTGATTGAAGTAAAGCTGTAGTTGGAAAAAAGCTCTTAATAATTTTATGTGGATTTTATTAATTTCATATTCCATCAGTAACCCAAAATTATGCTACTTAATAGTAAGACAGTAGTCAGTAAATTTTGTAAAAATGGAAAAATGAACGCGAAACAATCCCAACAGAGGACGTTCCGAAAGCTTCTTAAAAATGGTCATGCATAGTTATGAATGAGTAGAGTGTAATTTTGATGGAAAAAGAGAATATTTCTCACATTCTTGCTTTTTCCTCGTGCATTCAGGCGGAAAATTTGGGTTAGCTGAAAGGGGTCAAACCTTTGATAAGTGCTTCTGTTGTGCCAACTTTGCGAAAGGCGAGTAACTGCCCAAATGAGTCTTATTGAAATAGTGTGCTCCAACTTTCATCCTCATGTTGGTACCAGACGTTGGTGAGTCTATGCCTTAGACTGAAAAGTACCGGCCGTATACGCATGCCGTTATAATTCTGCGGTATCTGCTGCCGTGTCTAAAATAAAAAAAAGTCCATCAAAAGTAACGGATTTGACAAAATGTGGAATTTTAGAGGAAGACTAACGCTTGCTTGAAGCTAGATTTTTCGTAACCAGTCGGCTTATTCATGGTGCTCAAGAGGTTTGATTAATTTTCACACCTCTGACACAATTGACACAATTATTTTTAATGCTATTCAATCATAGTGATGCGTAAATACGCGTAAAAAAAGATAATATCTTTCAACTACAATTGCTTAGGACGAATGACTTACACACAAGAACACATGCTCCACAAAAGATTCGTTTCACATGGCTTTCTTCATCACATGAAGGGACGAGCAAGTCGACCTCTTCCACTCGGAATGGTTTAGGAGAGTATCAGCCAACAAGACTTGTAAAATCACATACACAATTGATGTAGCGTCCCACATTCTGTTCTGATGAGATTGCCACATTTAACAAGTCATCAAAACTTTCACACGAAATGTAAAGTCAACAAAAGACCAACAAATTCATTGGCAAATAGCCACTCTTGATGTGCAATTCTGAGGGGAGATGGTGAAGATGGTGTGACCAACTTTAGCTGTAGAGTGTTTGTTTGAGCTTGTTTTCACAACTCGGTCGGAGCGTCAGAAAGACCATGTTCTCTGCCAGACTATTCGTGACTGCCAGCCTCGTTTGTGAGAGGCGCCATCGTAACAAAACAGAGTTACAACTTATCAAAGCGAAAAGTTATACGTTGTAGGTCAGTGCTGACGATGATACCACTCACAGACGACGTCGGCGAAGCGTATGGGAATGTGCCGCGACGAGGTACGTTGCACAAGGTCTCGCTGAGCCTCAGACCAAGTTGGGCAAGCGAGGTGGGACAAACAGTAACTGACGGATTGACCGAAAAGGTGAAGAGTATAGAATTGAGTTGGAGGTGATGCCTCATTTCGTCCAAATAATCCCGCCAAAGAAGGTTTGTGTTCGAAGTGGGTTTTGAAGATATTTGGCCCAATAGTCTAATCGACAAAAGTGAAACATAATTGTTGGGATTACTTACATTTCGAGTAGAAGTGTTGGGTGAAGAGATTCGAAGTTCGGTTCCATCAGAAGACGACGGCGAATTCCTTTTGACCAGCTGTCGATTGGCTTTACTGAAACATTCATGCTGACGCTGTTTCCGAGGCAATCTCCTTCGATTCTGCTGAACACATGCTGAGCTTTCGTCCGTCATAATACGGACATCATCAGAGCGAGGTAACATCGTCACAACAAAATTCAAGCTTACGAGTCGAAAAAATTATTAAAAAAATGTTGTAGTCTTGGAAACTAGAGCGTGTATCAGGTGGTTTGGTTAAGAGTAGACTCAAAGAGAGCAGTGGAGTTTTCTCGACTCGTTAGCTTCAATTTTGTTGTGACGATGTTACCTCGCTCTGATGATGTCCGTCAATCATTGCATCACTCTATCATTTTAACATTCTATCATTCTAACATTCTATCATTCTATCATTCTATCATTCTATCATTCTATCATTCTATCAT